CATAGTTCGATGTGACCCGGACTTGGCTACAAGTAAGCGAAAACCGTTTCTCGATATCTCTTCGCATTATCGAGTTATTAGAAAAGACGTATAGTATCTTATTTCTTGACTTCACTAGCAGTTACTATTACGTTTGAGTATAGTAGTTATTCGCATAAGAGTTAGATAGATTTGACTTTTTCGCTCATAATCACTTATTCTGTGTTTAGTCCGAGCTTCAAAGTTCATTAACTCGAACTGTATATTTTCTCATTTTACTTTTGAACTTAATTGTAAATATATGACATACGTCTCAGTAAATATTTCGATGACAACAAAGATGGTATACACTCGTCAAAACAACAAACTTTCTTTCTTTAAGTACTGATGGATATGAGAGTACTAAAATGCTTGAAGGTTTTCTTTAACTATGAACGATAAGAAGTTTATTAAAATGCTATAGAACAAATTGTACTCATATTGTAAAAACAACTTGTTTTTATTTCTATTTCTTTTCTTTGTTTATTCTAATTTTAATTTTTGATGCCTGAGAAACTATGATGTTGACATACACATGTTTCAAGTGAACTGAAGTACATCAAGGAGCAAATGAAGTTTTGGAATTCATATACTTCTTTGTTTTACAGCTGTATAGACGGGAAAGGGTTGATAGGTGTTGTCACTTATTTCAATAAAAACTTTTACATAAGAATGATATATCTAGAAAGTTTTCATATTTAACTCTCCAGTAGATTTGACTGAATATAGGAAAAGAGTACTATCAACTTTATAAATGAGAATTTTGAAGTAAACAATTCTACTTCTACAGATCATCGTCATATACCTATGTTTCAGATCTTCTTCTAAAACTCAAGAAAATGTCTTCATCTTCATCTCGTATTATTCAAAAACCATTGAAATTACACAATTCAAATTCACAAGATATTCTCTTACGTCAATTGTTAAAATTTCGTATTGATGGTCATACGATTGATGCACGTAATGTTGATGAATTATATCCGGGTATTGATCATTTATTAATTCGATGTCTACAAACAGGCGATTGTCGACAATTAGATAATCGTTTAAAACGTAATTTAAAAGCTGAATATTTCTTGATTACCGGAAAACACATACACATTAGTTTTAAATCACAGACACAAAATATATTAGAGAAATTAATTCATATGGGAGCTACAGTAGGTATGTAAGAAACAATTATCTTTTCTCTCTTCATTAGCTAAAGTTAGAAAGCATCAGTTAATGATTGGAGAAGCACATTATTTTTAGAATACTATTTTTATCAGAAATTGATACCTTTAATTATTTATTCTAGTATAGATATCTCTTATTTTTAGTACTACAGAGGGAAAATGCGCCTCAACTGGAAATCGAACCCAGGACCCTCTGGTTACAGGCCAGAAGCTCTAACCACTGAGCTATCGAAGCACTCTAATCGCATTAATCCTCTGTAGTATATGACAGACCCATAGTGGAAGCATTTTTTAAGCACGAAGGCCGCAAATCACTTGTACTTTTTCCTGTAAGGGGCTAGAAGTACTGGAAGAGTGATCATTTATTGCTTTTTTAAGCATTCATGCCATATTCCCTAACTGAGGCTTCTGTATAGAACTTAATCCTTGTAATATTTATTTTGCCTTTGAGGGCACTAGGTGCCAATAAGCAACAAAAAACTATACATCATGTTGAAAAAACGTGCTAAAAGGGGTGCAGAAAAAGCCCCTTGCTATCGGTGCTGTCGCGATGCGCTAGCTTGACTGACGTGGGCAATTGCTAAGCGACGGATGTTATAGTGATAAACTCTGTGTTTTTTGCTCAACAAAAAAAGTGTGATTTTCTGTAACGGTTATCTCGAAAACTATACAATTTTTCAAAATTTTAAACGCTTGTAATGGCTGAATTGTGTCTTATCCCCTTTTGAGACTATTTGTATATTTCGTTGCTCGGATTTACAACTCCAAAGTAGGTCTTTGGAACGTTTAGGACTTGTAATTTTTTTCTCCCCAAAACACGATAATTAATCTGAGTCATAAATGTACATGCGCTTTTATACCAGCGTACGTTCGTCACCCGTGTGATTCATTTTATGATCGTTCTCTATCTATTCAATAAGTAATTATCGTAACCCTAGCCTCTGAATGCATTCTTGTGCTACAGCTGATTAATGCTGAGTGTGAAATAAAAAATCTGTATGTGATGATAGAAGTTACAGACGCTTAATGAATCAGTAGCAAACAAATTTCGACAGTATCCTATTTTTCTCAAAACTAAGACAATTATTCTCTTATGTGACTAATCTGCGCTTTATTTAGTTCTTTCCTGCGAACAATACTGTACACAATTTAACAAAAAAAACGGAGTTCTCTGTTGCCGTATCCTTCATTCTCTTGTTCCTGCTTCGCACCGCATTCGCAACTCTCGCTAACATGATTGCCGTCTAGTTTTATAAATGGCCACAATGAGTAGTTAAATCACTCATTAGCTGAACTTCATAGTTATAATGAGTGTTTTATTTGTCACTCCATCTCTCTATTTTAAACTAATATATAGAAAAAGTAATGTTAACAGAAATTTATTAATACCTATTAATAGCTATTACTGGACACCGAATCCGATCAACGTTATTCGAGAAACAAAATTCTTAACTTTGTTTTCAAGATTTTAATCAGAAGTTATAACAAAGTTTATTTGCATTTCTGAAATTATTTCTCATTTTAACACTACTTATTTCTTTGTATTTCATTGTTTGATAAAAATCCATCTGAATTGTTTTGTAAATTTTTTTTCCTATATCATCAATTCAATCAGACTTTGATTGTCGAGATGTGTGGACAAAGTGTCTAAAGACGAATTGATGAATCGCAACTTTTAAGCGTAAAAATGATACAACAATTCGCGTTTTACCCTTATTTTGCGAATTCGTACCGAATTGAGGCGAACTTTATCGAATTCGTACGGATACTCTTAAAAACTTTTACGAATTCTTCTTTCGAATTCGTAAACAGAGAATAGATCAAACACGATGCTGATCAATTCGCAAATAATTCGTAAAATTAGTTTACGAATTCGTGTTCACTGTTTTT